AACTGCCAACAAAGATGGCGGCCACGCAGCACGCAGCTGAAGCGAGCAGGAGGCTTGCTTGCTCCAGTGAGGGAGGAAGCCAAGGTTCCCCGCCTGCCTCAGCCCAGCTCTGAGCTCCGTATGCAACAATGTTGCAATTATAGAAGCTAAACAAACTCCAGATACCTGCTTTCAGCTGGCAGCAGGCTCAGAGCTTAGAGCGCCAGTGATGGTAACAGAGTTTTAATTATAGAAGCTAAACAAACTCAGATACCTGCTTTCAGCCAGCCACAGCCTCAGAGCTGGAGCCGGGCCTCAGCTCCAGTGACAGCTATAGAAGGTAAATAAATCCCAGAAAAAAAAAGAAATAAAAAAGGCTGGGAGCTTCAGTCACCCGCCAGCCTGAAAACGGCCCTCAGCCCCTCACCCAGACTGGCCAGGCACCCCAGTGGGGACCCCCACCCTGAAGGGAGTGTGACCAGCTGCATACAGCCATCAGCCCGTCATCCAGGCTGGCCAGGCACCCAAGTGGGACCCCCACCCTGATCCGGGACACACTTCAGGGCAAACCAGCCGGCCCTCACCCGTGCACCAAGCCTCTATCCTATATAATAAAAGGGTAATATGCAAACTGACCCTAACAGCAGAAAGACTGGGAATGACTGGTCACTATGACACACACTGACCACCAGGGGGCAGACGCTCAATGCAGGAGCTGCCCTCTGGTGGTCAGGGCGCTCTCACATGGGAGGAGCTCTGCTCAGCCACAAGCCAGGCTGATGGCTGCCAGTACAGCAGTGGTGGTGGGAGCCTCTCCTGCCTCCTCAGCAGTGCTAAGGATGTCCGACTGCAGTTTAGGCCTGCTCCCCGCTGGCAAGTGGACATCCCCCGAGGGCTGCCGGGCTGCCAGAGGGATGTCTGATTGCCATCTTATGCCCAATCCTCCAAGGAGCGGGCCTAAGCCAGCAGGTGGTCATCCCCTGAAGAGTCCCAGACTGCGAGAGGGCACAGGCCGGGCTGAGGGACCCCCCCTCCCCCCGCGAGTGCACAAATTTTTGTGCACCGGGCCTCTAGTATAATATAATGCTTAACAGTGTGGGGTCTGCTTAGAGAGATCCATGTTCATAGTCTGGATCCATTACTCTTTGGCTTTTGGCAAAACTCTCCAATTTATCATTTGTTAAAGAAGAAGAATAGTATTAACCTCCCCGAATTCTTGTGAGAATTAAATGATATAGTATGCATAATGTGTTTTGCTTGGAAACTGACATGTAGTGAAACACCCAATAAATATTATAGATTATTACTTTATCTTCATTCTGGGACTTGAAGACAATGTATCCCAAATTTTTGCATACAACGTAATGGCTTGGTACCTCATAAGATCAGGTAACGTATAGGAATGCCTAACTTAATGAAAATTCAATATTTAGAAAAATAAAACTTTAAAAACATCTGTATTTCCCTGGCCATGTTGCTCAGTTGGTTGAGCATTATCTAGTGCACCAAAGAGTGCAGGTTCAATTCCCAGTCAGGGCACATACCTAGGTTGCCAGTTGATTCCTCGGTTGGGGCACCTACAGGAGGCAACCAATCACTGTTTCTCCCTCATCTCTTTCTCTTTCTCTTTCTCTCTCTCTCTCTCTCTCTCTCTCTCTCTCTCAAATCAATAAACATATCCTCGGGTGAGGATTTTTTTAAAAAGCTATATTAGGATATAAAAGTATTAAGATAGATTGCTATGTTAAAGGACTCTTTATGAGTAGATTCACTTACTAGATGTAAACAAGTTATCCTGTAGATTTCATTTATTAATGAGTAAATTCATTAATTAGCTCTATTAGCACATTTAATATTTGATTCCATTATAAAAACTCTGCCCACAACTTTTCAGGACTTTCACATCCTATTATAAAATGAAACACTCCTATAGAATAAAAACAAGCAAACAAAACATCCAAACCCCAGTTTAATGGCTCTCAGACATTTTGGTGCCAGGACCCCTTTACACCTTCAGGTTTGAGGACCTCAAAATAGTTTTTATTTACGTAGGTTATATATATTCATATTTGCTTTTAAAAAAGTTAAAGATATTTTTTCATTAATTCATTTAAAAAATAAACTCACTGCATGTTAACATAAACCACAAATTTTTGTGAAAGTAACATTTGCCAAAACAAACAAAAAAACTAATGAGAAAAATGGCATTGTTTTACATTTTTAGAAACATCCAATGTCTGGCTGTAAAGAAGACAACTAGATCCTCATATCTGCTCCTACATTCAGTCAGCTGGGGTAGCACATTATTCTGCCTCTGGAGAACTGTACACTGATGAGAGAATGAAAGTGAAAAGCAAACGATGTCTTAGTATTATTATGAATATTGTTTTGGCCTTGTGGACCCATGGAAAGGACCCTGGGAACCCCAGGGGTTTTCAAACCTCACTTTGAGGACCAGTATCCTAGCTGAACAGTTTTTACAGGTTTGTTTGAAAATTGTCTTCTGAGAGCTGAGTGAAGAAACTCATCACACACCCGACTCACGCCTCTTCAGTCTCCAAAGTAAGACATTTACAGAAGAAGGTAAGGGTGTCACTCACCCTCACAGCCTTCCCGGTGAAGACTGAGCCAGTGGCACTGCTTTTAAAGGCTCTGGTCTGGTTCAGTTCCAGAAGCCCTTTGTGATACTGTAAGGCAATTCGGGCTGTCACTCCTGAGCCCGTAGGACTTCGGTCAACCTGTTTCAGAACAAACAAAGATAAGAAAGTTCATAATGCTCTACTTCCACATCGCATGACTTTTGTGCCTAAAAATCACAGTTTTAATACCTGCTCATCTGCAAACACACAGATGTTGGTGGTTGGCTCCTCACTGTAAGTGTCTTTTCCATCTGTTAATATAGTTCCATATAGAAAGGCAAGGTCTTCACTATCAGGATGAGTAATTTTAAACTGCAAATAACAAAAAATTATCAACCACATGTAAAATAAATACTTTGATTCAAGTTTATATTTTAAATAACATATATGGGGCTCTCTTAGACATAATTTTTCCACCTTTATCATTTTTAAAACACCTGTTGGGTCAAGGCACTAAATGCTAGAAGGACATCTTTGTCTAGATCCATGGTCGGCAAACTGTGGCTCGTGAGCCACATGCGGCTCTTTGACCTCTTGAGTGTGGCTCTTCCTAAGCCTTAGGAGTACCCTAATTAAGTTAATAACAGTGTACCTACCTATATAGTTTAAGTTTAAAAAATTTGGCTCTCAAAAGAAATTTCAATCGTTGTACTGTTGATATTTGGCTCTGTTGACTAATGAGTTTGCCGACCACTGGTCTAGATGAATAAACATAGTTTTATTGGAAGTTGTGATTTTTTTTTTTTTATTGATTTCAAAGAGAGGAAGGGAGAGGGAGAGAGAGATAGAAACATTAATGATGAGAGAGAATAATTGACCGGCTGCCTCCTGCACGCCCCCTACTGGGGATCGAACCCGCAATCTGGGCATGTGCCCTGACTGGAAATCAAACTGTGACCTCCTGGTTCATGGGTGGATGCTCAACCACTGAGTCACACTGGCCAGGTGGAAGTGTGAGTCCTTCCTAAGGAAGTTGCCCTGCACAAAGCCTCTACTAATGGAACAGTCCTATTTTATACACACCCCCACTAACTAAACACACACACTCTTTGAGGCGCTGAGCCCAGGATGGTCAGTCCACAGGCTGGCCATGGCTGCCCAAACAGGAGGAGCTAAGGCAACCATATCCTCACTCTCAGGAGCTTGAAGGGGATCATGTGGAGAAACCAGGCAATGAGTATCTAGAGCTGAAGTGAATACTAGTGATAGAGACAAAGACTGTGAGAGGCCCAGAGCAAGCAAAAGTTACCGGGATGCAGATGCTATTAGGTAAGAGAAACAATTGGATGGAAAAAGAATGATTTATTGTAAAGAATGAAGTCAGCCCAGGTGGGTGTGGCTCAGCAGTTGAGCATCGACCTAGGAACCAAGAGGTCTCCAGTTGGATTTCTGGTCAGGGCACATGCCCAAGTTGCAGGCTGAATCCCCAGTGGGGGGCGTGCAGGAGGCACCTGATCAATGATTCTCATCGTTGATATTTACTAATATCTTTCTCTCCCTCTCCCTTCCTCTCTGAAATAAAAATATATATTTTTAAAAAGAATGAAGTCAGCTGGTATCATGAAAAGCAGCAGTGTTGATGGCAGCAACAGTACTGACCTGAGCTTTCACTGCTTCTGTCACTGTACTTGCTGCATCCACAAGGTCCCTTGTCTTTGCAGAACAAACATCGAGTCCTAACTTTTCAGCACTAACAAATGCATAAAATGCGCCACCATATGCAATGTCCACTACCACCTTCCCATGACCAGGAACATCCACCAGGAGATCTAAAAAAGATGTGTTTGAATAGTGTGTTTTAGTAGTTTAGCAATATGAATCATACAATTTTTCATATGTTTACATTGCGGGGTGGGGGACGGGGAGCGTAGAGAAAGTGGGGGGGGTTCTTCTTATCATAAAATGGAATGAAACAAAAATGCATCTTCAAAATAAGCATCAAGTAAATAATAATAGAGCTTTAGCTAAGTACACCTTTCTATTTTTAACTTGATGTTTGCATAAGTTATACGAGTGCACTTGAATGCATGTTTTCCTTAAATTATACATGCATATTTGTTAACTATTCTGAGTATCTTTTTTTTCTAGGAAACATCATAGAGACAGAGAGAGGAAAACCCTGGGGCCTCAACATGTGAAAACTACGAAGGAAAATGTAGGTCCCCTCTCATACTACTAGGAGTGGTTTTAAATAGTGAGGATTTGGAGCCCTATTCACAAATTGGTTTTCTTCAAATCTAATGTCAAAACAAAATGGGGAAAAAAAGAGACTTTTCCTATACGTTACGTACAAACACTTACTCACTTATATATTTCATATCAGGCAAATACTGCAGGCAAATACTCAGAACAAGCCACTGTGCAATCACTGACCTGTATGGTATTATTTTGCATCAGGGTTTTTATAGGTATTTTAAGTGCCGCCATAACCAAAGTTTCACCTGAAGGTCAGTTGTTTGAAATACTGAGTTTACATTTCCAAAGGAATGGGGCTGGCTGATATTTCGGGATATTAAAACTGTTTCCCTCCTTCTCAAATTTTCCTCTCTTTCTCCTCCCCAATTCCAGTGGGCTTGGTGATCACGGCCTCTCGGGGAGGCATATGGCAGGGGAGAAGCAGGTTTTGTGGAAAACGATCCCAGGAGAAAGAGATCTGTTGGCCAAGGAGTGTCCTGTATGTGTATTTTTTCCCGTCACCATTTATCCCCTCTGTGCCCTCTTCCACCTCCCCCCAACCACCAGACTGTTGTCCATGTCCATGAGTTCTCTTTTTAAAATCTTTATTGTTGAAGGTATTATATATGTCCCCTTTTCCCCATTGACCCTCTCCAGCGAGTTCTCTTTTATTTTTTCTACATTATTCCAGCCCTCTGCCACCCCCACCCCCTCCCCAGCTGCTGCCTGCTCTCTAAAGGGAGAAACATTTCTCTTGGTCAATAGGGAAACTTCCTCCGGACTGAGAAAAGAGGCTGGAGGTCCTGAGTGCAGAGGGTCGGCCTGTGTTAACTTCCCCACACACCACGGAGAGGCTGCGGCTGTGACAGAGGCAGCAGGAGGAGGGGGCGGGTGACGCTTCCCTGGTAACGTGTGCAAGCCAAGGACCGAGGACCGAAAGGCCCTCTTCGCCAAGGCCTTGGCTATTTTCAGAAACCTTTGCTCACATATATATGAGGAAAAGGGGCAGCAAGTGGAGGGTTGAAACTACGTCAACCAATAAGGCAGAGTGGAGTCTCAAATTAAGTTGTGAAAAATAAAATATTTCTTGTATTCCGGAGTTTGCACAGTCCTACAAAGGTACCAGTATGCGATCAGCTACAGACTAGCCCACAGAGCCCTTTTTACATGTGACGTGTCAAAACACAGCAAATTTATCACCAAAAGAGTAAAACATGCCTGTGGAACTTAACAGCAAACCTGAATAAAAAGGTCTTTATCTGGATGCTGGTGCAACATGAAAAGCACATTTAATAAGAGGAGAATGAGGAATTCGATGGAAATAAGGGACTGCTAGAAAGCTAAGCTAAGTGTGGCTTTGGTGTCCTCATGTGTAAAATGGCACTGCTATTCCCCCCAACAAAGGTTTCCTTTGAGAATCCTATGTGATTATGTGTGTGGAGTGGTTGGCACAGATTAGTAATGTAATAAATGTTAATATTAAAGCCAGAAGTTTAATTTCCAATAGGAATAGAACTCTTAAGAGAACCAGTTGTTTACATTTGCCAATCAGCATATTCTCCAAATTTCATTTTAGTTATTCATTTAACAAGTGTTAACTACCTACTGTTCTAGCACTTGAATACAGTGAACAAAATTCTGGAGTTTTCATTTTGACAGGTGGAGTGGAGGTGGACTCAGCAATTTTCTGAGATGGGCACTGCTGTCATCTTCATTTTACAGACATGACACTGAGGAACAGAAACCCTTTCACAAGGTCGCCTAGATGAGGAAGGACAGAGTAGTGATCTTGATTGAACAGTCAGTCCACCTTTTTTATATTTTTCTAAGTAGAGAATTTAGGATTTCATTTTCTTTTTAAAATATATTTTTATTGATTTCAGAGAGGAAGGAAGAGGGAGAGAGATAGAAACATCAGTAATGAGAGAGAATCATTGATCCGCTGCCTCCCACATGCTCCCCCCCACACCCCCTGCCCCTTCCCTGTACGCCCCACACTGGGGATCAAGCCCACAACACGGGCATATGCCCTGACCGGGAATCGAACCATGACATTCTCTGGTTCATAGGTTGACGCTCAACCTCTGAGCCACACCAGCCGGGCAAGATTTCATTTTCTTAATGCAGTGATGTTCTCGGAACTACCGAGCTGATGGGGTTGGCTGCCCCTGCCATCACTTACCCAAATTGAGGTGGTGGTGATCCTGCTGCCTACTGTCATTTCCCACAAAATCCAGAGGGCTTCCCACCTGCTGCTGGGGTGGCTGAGGTGCCAAGTTAAACTGTTGAGGTTTTTGAGGTGAAATCTAAACACAGACTCCTGTCTCCCTCCAGTGCCTTCCCAATACAGATGTGACACCATTCTCTGCTAAAGGGGAAAGTGGCCTCTATTTGCTCTAAGAATGAGCTGGACTATCACGGCATCATTCAGAATCAGGCTAACCTGGAACCCAATCCTAGAGGAGGATTAAGATCGAACTCACAGAATGATATGCATGGCTTGAAGGCTTTGAAAAAAAGAGGTGATAACCCAGTTCCTGGCTGGACTAACTTAGCTCCCAGCTCACTTCCAGCCATGACTACTCAAGCATCCTCACTGACAGAATGCAGCCCTTTGCAGGGATTTCCCCTCTATGTAAGGATGATAGTTATTAGTTATTACATGACACACAGGCTCTGTACTAGGGACCCACCAAAACCTTCTGAAGGCTCAGCACACGCAGAGGACTAACTAGTAACCTTATATATTCGGTAGTCTCTGTCTTGGAATATATCTATTTTTAAATTCTAAGTAGTGCCTTACACTCATTCAATCCTCACAAAACTCAATTCGATAACACATGAAGTATAGACTCAGAGAGGTTAAGTAATTTGACTCAAGCTGCACAGCCTTATAGGGTTGTCAGGCTTTGAACCCAGGCAAAGTCTGTTCCTGTTTTTAAAAAATAAGAGCAAGCGTTTTAGCGACATCAGTACTTTCACGATTTGTAAGTTGCCTAGTTCATTCTCATTTAATTTCCTCCCCAAGAAGTGGAGAAGCACTTTTTACAGATCAGTCCCAGTAACCTGTGTTTAGTAACCTGTCAGAGGGGATGGTGTGTCTGGCGAGGGCATTCTGAGCCAGCCTGGAACCGGGCCCACCGGCTGTTCTTTGCCCTTTGACTCTGGCCGACGTGGCTTTAGCCAACTGTGAAATCTAGGAACGCCTGCCGAGTGGGGAGCGAGGCGCTGAGGGAAGCACGGAATTGGGTTAGGGTTAGGGTTAGGGTTTTAGGGTTAGGATTTTCGGGTGTCTCAAGGCTCTCAAGACCACAGGCCCATGGCCCTGGGGGATCAATCACTGAATTGCATGCTTCGCACAAATCCGAAGGCTATGGCAAGTGACTTAGAATTACCTTTTAATTATTTTTGCAAGGGGTTTGGGTTAAGGTTGGGTTAGGTTTAAGGTTAGGTAGGGTGTCTCAAGGCTCTCAAGACCACAGGCCCACGGACCTGGGGGATCGATCATTGAATTGCATGCTCCGCACAAATCCGAAGGCTATCTGCAGTGACTTAGAATTGCCTTTCATATTGCAAAGGCTGGGGTGGGTTAGTGCGCCGTGTGGTCCAGCCGAGAGACGAGTGTAGTTAGTAGGTCTCCGGTTGCAGCCGAGGGTGAGCGGTCCCGCCGTTTCCTGTGGCCAGCACGAAGCCGAGACGCTGTGGAAGCGCCCGGGCCGCGGCTCCGGCCGCCCTCGCACTGCACGAAGGCGGCAACCAGCCCGCACGGGCAGTGGATGTTGACGCGGGCCTCGCGGGCGCCGGCCGGGGGCGCAGCCACCAGCCCGAAGTCGAGCGCGAAGCGGCCCAGCGCCAGCACGGCGTGGCCGCACATGGAGCTGTAGCCTTCGTTGTGCAGGAACAGGACGCCCAGGTGCGCGTCCGGCAGCTCGCTCGGCACCAGCACGGCCCCGTACATGTCCCGGTGCCCCCGGGGTTCGTACACGAGCCGTCGCCGCACGTGATCCAGGTGCTGGCGCATGTAGCGCCGCTTGGCCAGCAGCGTGGGGCCGGCCACCTCCGGACACCCCGCCAGCACGATGCGCAGGGGCTCGCCGCCCGTGTGCATGTCCACCACCGACAGCGCCGGCGTGCCCGGGTCGTGCGGGGGCACCCGGGGCGGCGCCGGCGAGCGCTCGGCGGTCTGCATGGGGAACTCGGATACCGCTCGGCTCGGGGCGCGCGCTGCCAACCCAGGGCCCACCCGCGGGCCGGGCGCCGGGGAGGTAGGACCCGCGGCCTCCTCGGGGGCGGGGCCTCGGAGCCCGGACGGGGAAGCGCGAGGCGGGGGCGGAGCTTCGGAGCGGTCGCCCGGGTTACCAGGAGGCGGACCCGCCTAGGCGTCCGTAGCCCGGATGTCCGGGCGCAGCGGGCCCTGCGGCTGATCCTGGAGCTTCTCCAAGGAAACTTACCCGCGGCCCATGGGTGAGTGGTCGCTGGGGTCCCGGGAGCCTTTGCAAAAGCTTCTAGCCTTGGCTGCTGCGCGGGGCTCCGCTCATCCTCGCTCCCCGCTCCCCCACCCCTCGCCGTGGGGGCGCGCCCTGCACTCTCCTGGGGATGGGGGTGGGGTCGGGGCCTCGGCTCCGGCCCGGATGCCGAGGGGAGGCCGCTGCGCGCGGGGAGGGATGGGTTAGAGGCCTCCGTGGCTGCGGTCGGAGGGTCCCTTCAGTCTCCGCGTCAGTCCTGGCTGAACACTCACCAGGGTGGACTTCACAGCTTAGGGCGCGGGAGCAGAGACTGATGGCCGCATAGCTGTTGTCTCCCGCTTCAGCATCAATCGTGGGTGCAGGGGGTCCGTCACAGAGATTGCAAAAAACAAGTCAGAATGCTAGCTGCAGGGAATGTAAGGAAAGTGATCGGACGCTGGGAGTCGGGGTTTGTTTGGCCGATGATAAGCTGGTGCTGGTTTTCAGGACTTGGGGTTTGAGAAACTTGACTTACATTCAAATAGATTTATTAAGCATCTACTATAGGCAAAGCCTGTGTAGGAAAACTTCCAATTCTTTAACCCGGGGCTTCTCAAAAAATCAATTCATTTCCGACTATTAGCTGAGAACATTGTGATTACAGTTGGTTTAAAAATTAGTGTCAAAGAAGCCCGGGGATTTAAAAAAGAAACAAACTCAAAAATTTGATAAAAGTGAAACTATTAGACTTGAGGCATTTTAGTCAGTGTTATTTCTGTTGTTTTTTTCTCAACTACAAAAGGAGAAAAAAATCAGAAGTCTATTCAAATTTGAAAGGAGAACAGGGATTGTGGACCAGACAGTCTCTAGATTGTGAATTCATGAAGAGTTTGGGAAATGATTGTTCATCATAATTATAAAATGCATACTTTTCTAATTAATTTGCATTTGACCACAGTTGTTTTGGAATTACTCCACACGAGGCTAAAGGTTCCGTGAAGGCAGGGACTGCCATGTCCCTCTGTGGATCTTTAGTTGACCCTGACCAGTGGAATCTGACTTTTAATGCATGTTCGTTGAATGCGTGAATCAATGAAGGAAGGGAAATGTCCCTGATGAAAAAAACAACCCTCCTTCAATAACCTCTACCTGTTGATGAGGTCAAAGACAGTCGGTCGGCCCTGAGTGGTTTTGTAAAGAACAGCTGCTTTTAATTTCCCTGAGCCTCCAAGATCAGGGGGTTGATTCAGGCAGTGGTTCCAAGTATTGGTCAGAGGACCCGTGACAGCCTTGATGAAGTTGTCAGCTGTCCTTGACAAAAGTTAGGACAATGTAAGTAAGCCTTTTATAAAGGTGAATTTATTTACTCTAAAGGCCCGCCCTTTATTCTGAAATTATGTTCTTTCTGCTTTTCTGGTATTAAAATGTGTCCTGTTATGAAAGAAGGTGATAGTAGATAGTGTGTGTGTGTTTGTGCACATGCACTTAATGTCCTGACTGAGCAAAATAAAAAGTAGTGATCCTCTACTAATCCTCTTATTAGAAAACCATTTAAATTCAGAAGGCTAGACACCTAATCAAGGGGAGTGCTGGCTGGAGCTCCTGGAGACGGGCCAGGTTAGGCTTTGAGTTCCAGGGATACCTCCTGACCTGCAGGTAGAGGACTGAGGATGTTCATCACAAGAAACAGTATTAACAACAAGGTTCCAGTATAACTTTGTGCAGTGTCGTGTCACAGTGTAAAGGAGAAATTTAATTTTTAAAATAAATGCAGAAGACTTTTGCCACGATCCATATGATTATTTTATTTGAAACTGTACTGAGATATTTCTGCCAAGTGCTGCAACTATTATTGCATTATTTGTTTATAATCACAAAAGATGTTACTGTACTGGCATTTGTTTTTAAAAAGCTGTCGATATTCAACCAGCATGCCTCGGACTTTACTGTGGGAAGACCCTCTTATTTAAAAATGGCTCAACTGAACTGTATGGAGAATGTGGGGTAAGTCTTAATGTTTGTATGTTCATTTGTAAAATCTTTTTGCTTTTGTAATATTTTCACATGTAGTGTATCTTTTTTCTTCAGTCTACTCATTAATTTCTAAAAGACTATGTAGGCATTAATAAAATCTTTGTGTTGTCATATTGATTTTTTATAATACATCTTTCTTTACAGTCACAGTTACTGTGTTTTTAAGAACATTTTATAATTTTAGAGTAATTTTAAATTACTTTTTATTAATGATACAGTACAGTGACTTGGATATGCAAGTCAGTTAACATTACAATTCCAGAACACTTGTTTGCAATTATTTTTATACGATGTTAATAGCTACGTTTGTCATTTAATATTAGTCAACTATTTTAGTAACTTAGTAAAAGGACTCCTTTTACAGTTGGTTTCATACAGATATAGGCAAATACAGTGTAGATTTCTTTTTATTTTACTTATGCTTTCTCTTTTTTATATCTAAAAGATGCACATGTAAATAGATGTTTAAACAGAAATGGGACATTTTATAGAAAGATTTTGGGGGTGCTAATGTTCTAAAGTAATATCTGTACATAAAATATTATTTTTATATGTTGTAGGTGTGTCCAAGAGGACAGAGAACAAACGCACAGAAGTACTGCCAGCCTTGCACAGAATCTCCAGAGCTCTATGACTGGCTCTATCTTGGATTCATGGCTATGCTTCCTCTTGTTTTGCATTGGTTCTTCATTGAATGGTACTCGGGGAAAAAGAGGTTAGCACTTCCTATGAATGTATCTGGATGCACTGATGCTGGAATAATTATTAGTCAGAATCAAATAATTATACTTCTGTTGTTTGTTTTAAAAGTGGTAAGCCTGTTTTGGTTTTATATTCTGATTACTCTTGATTGTGGCAAGAAAACTTAATGATAGGGCATGCCTCAATATGTATTGAGGGAAGTATCCTTTGTCTGTTTTACTTTAAATGAGTTTGAAGGAACTTTTTTTTTTACATGTCTTTCTTTTTTGTTGAAGAAATTGAAAACATTTTAAAATTATCATCTTTATTGTTTTTTTTACAAAGAATTGCTTTATTGTTCTAGAACTAATACTTTGTGATTTAATTTACTACTAGTAATCTAGTGTAATGTAGTTAAAATGCTATGGCTGCAACCTAGTTATGAAAACTCATGCTAGCACATTATCTCCATAAGCATCTATTAAGCACTGTGTTTTATGTTCATAAGATCAGAGGAGGAAATACACAAATCACTGACATGGTTTATAGTCATAATCTTTTAGAGAAGACACATGTATATATAACTGAATGTAATATAAGTCAGTCTTAAAACTATATAAACAAACGTGTGTAAAAGCACTGTAAACAAAATGCTCTGGAATCATGAAGAAAGGAAGAGATAAATTGTGCTTGGTAGGATCTGAAAGACTTGGGGGAAAAAAAAAAAGACCGTTTTAGGCAGAGGAAAGAGCTTGAGCAATGGCATGGAGGTATGAAATGTGTAGCTTTTCAGCGGTTGTGCTCAGCTTCGAGGAAATGAGATCCACATTGAGTGGGTGTGAGAGTCGTCAGGCTTAGTTTTATGCCCCGGAGGAGCGAGAGTAGTTTTGAAGCCTAAGTACAATGGGAATAAACACTTCAGAAAAAGTGCTGGCCCTGGCCTGTGTGGCTCAGGTGGTTGGGCTTCGTCCAGTGCACCAAAAGGTTGCTGATTCCATTCCTGGTCAGAGCATATGCCCAGGTTATGGACTTGATCCCTAGTAGGGGGCGTGCAGGAGGCATGTTTCACTCTCACATCAATATTTCTCCCTCTCCCTTCCTCTCTCTAAAAATAAATTTAAAAAATATTTTTAAAAATAAACAGTGATAAAAGACAATTTAATAGAAAGGTTAACTCTAGGGTAGAGACAGATGTGTGGAATGGGGAGAAACAGGTAGATATAAGTTGTTGTTCTAGTTATTGGGTTAGATGGTGAGCTTACAGTATTATACTCTATAACTAATATATTAGGTATAATTTTTGTGTACTTTTTATATTTAAGATAATTTTAAAATGATGCATAAGTAACTAAGAACATTTTAATAGCAATTTGGCGAGGCACTAAAGATAAGGGTAGATCTAATTTCTGCTCTTCTGCACATTTAGGTGATACTGGCACGGTATAATCCCTTTTTAGTAAACAAGGTTAAACTCTTCTCAAGTGGTTTTCATGTATGTTTGACTTTTCTTATCTGTTAAGAAGATATTTTGTTTCAGGAGTCAACAGTTAAAATTTCTTTACCGAAACCATATCTTGAATCATATCCAGGCTTTATGAAAAGCCATTTAGCACTAAGTTTTGGGTAATGGTGCTTCTTTTGTTTTGCTAGTTCCAGTGCACTTTTCCAGCACATCACCGCATTATTTGAATGCAGCATGGCCGCTATCATCACCTTACTTGTGAGTGATCCAGTCGGTGTTCTTTATATCCATTCATGCCGAGTACTGATGCTTTCTGATTGGTACACGATGCTTTACAACCCAAGTCCAGATTACGTCACCACCGTGCACTGTACTCACGAAGCTGTCTACCCACTGTAAGTGTTTATCTAGACTTAAGATCATGTTTTGAAAAATGACAATTATAGATTTAATTCATTTCCATAGGCCTTGAGCATCATAAAATGGCATCTAGGCCCTGGGGGAAATATACAGAAATGATTTTCTTCTCTTAAGGGATACATCGTCTGATAGGAGAAAATAGAAATACAGCTTAGTATAATAGAAGTGAAAGTGTTTTTGCGTTGGCGTTGAAGTATGTGTAAACACAAAATAAGCCATCTGTGTTTCTTAGAAAGGGATTTATAAGGAACACCTTT